ATTACTTGACTAATCTCGCAACCACCATAAAAAATTATGAAATAAACATAAATTATGCCTCTTTGATTCTAAAATGAACACAAATTATAACACGAAAACATAAATGTTTAGATGAAATAGCTTAAATCTCATAACATTATACATTTATATATATTTATTATTTTTATTATATTGACCTTTTAACCATGCCATACAGAAGTTACAACAACGCAGCTCATGTGCACTCATGTTACTGTATCAAATAACATAAAACTGACCTTTGGTCTGTACAAAGTAACCTGTCTTGGTTGTGTTTTAGTCAACTATTATTTTCTAAAATACAGTCATATTTCAATTATTATACATTATATGTGTATAGAGATTATTGTTATTTTGAAATAAGTTCTTAATGTTATTTTTCCTAAAACATAGAACAGTAAATAAAGAAGTAAAGCAAACAATTATCTCTTCTAGTTACTACCTTTGTACTCGGTTGCTGCTAGATGTAGGTAGCTTTTAAAAATTTTGCACATGGAGGATATGAAACAATATATTTTTTTTTAGGTTTTATATATACTTTTGAATAACTAAAAAATCATAAATTACTACATCAATACCATAGAATTCTACTACAATTTATCAAACTTTTGTAACAACTGTATTTTACTCTAAAATAGTCTTGTTGAAATCTTAGTTTAAAAGAAAGAAATGGTGCTAGGTATGTTAGAAATGATGAAAACCACTACGGGGACATACTGAGCTTCTGACTGGTTATTCATGTCATATATAGAACTAAGTCTATACAAGGGAGCATTTCCAAAAACAGGAGGAAGTGACGAGGTGCCACTATGCTTGATTTATTATGTGAGCAATATCTCAGCATATAGAAAAGATATGACCTTCTTATTTTATATTCTAGCTTGTCAATATCTGTAATTTGAGTTTCTAATTTGTATAAAACTATAGACTTAGTATTCTGACTTCACAAACATCTAATTTGAACCAGTGCTGCATTCAACATACCACGTGACACACAAAAAATCTATGTTTATCTATGTTTTTTTAATATTTACTTTTAAACTAACAAATTGAGTAATGTATAGTTCTAAATTTTGAATTTATATCTAAAGTTTGAAACCAAATTTATTGACATAAATTCATGAAATAGTAGTTCAATAAAATTTTGAATGCGAGTCAACAAACGAGATGACGTGGCCTTTCACCTATGACCCATCTCAAAATGGTTAAGAAGAGTAAT